GGATGGGCGTGCCTACGTTGCTTGGAATGCAGCCAAAAATGAATTCGTTAGAAAGAGGACACAGTATAATGTCCTATTTTAACGAATAACATGTTCAGCGGTGAAGACCCCCCTGGCCCCCTGCCTAGGGGTCAGCGCGTCAGGCTGTCTCTTATACACATCTAGATGTGTATAAGAGACAGGTCGTCACCGAGACTCGGGCTCGCGCGTGGAACAACAAGACGGACATATGGTTCAAGTTTAGTGCGAGGAAGCGGAGCAAGATATACGACTTCTTGTTCCTGCAAATGCGGCCGAAGAGAGACACCGACTCCGAGTACGTGCGCCGCAAGGACCGCATGTTCACGTTGCTCGACAACTACCATGGCGCCTCCCGCATGAACGTGAAGACCTTCCTCGAGAGGTTGCAGTCCCTTTGCTTCGTGGAGTCAGAGGAGGAGCTGACGTTCGGCAGTTACTCCTCCTTGATCTCCACGGAAGACGAGGAGACCACCGACATCAAGTTCGACGCGACCGCGGACGAGGGGGGCAGCGACACTAAAAGCGTTGACCTGCAGTACGACCAACATTCCGCGCAGCACGGTACAGGGTCGTCCTTGGCAGGTCCGTCGACAAGCTCGGCGTCCCTCGTGTCACCGATGGCGAAACCGGCGCCTGGCACTACATCGATGAAGTTGCTGCAGAGAATGCAAGCTCTGGCCTCCGGCCATCGCTCACTGCGTCCTGGGTCTGACATCCAACCCGATCATCTGTCTTGGACGAATGCCAACATTCACTTTCTGCCTGAGCCTCAAAGTCGTTCCAGGGAGGCGGACTGGGGCCATGACATGATTTGGCATCCATGAGTCATCTAGCTGGCGATCCAAAAGGGTGAGTGGATCCTGTCTCTTATACACATCTAGATGTGTATAAGAGACAGGTGCGAACCGGTGGACCTGAAGCTTTGGAAACCGCAAGTGTTCGACACTCTGAATTCCCAACTCCAGACCTGGTGTCCGTCGCATTGGACGCTCGTTGTTTTTGTCCCGCGGCAGCAGAACCTCTCCTTTCTGGCCAGCATAAACCATCTTTTTTTCGTCAAGCTGTTGGAAGGGCAGTGGGTGAGGAGGAGTCAACAGAAGAAAAGTTTCCCCGTCGGGAACAATTTGTACACGGAAGACGACCGAATGTACATATTCTTCAAAGGCGACGATTTGCGGGCCAACACGTCCGTCGTCTACGAGGGGAAACTGCCGGCAGGTGCCGCTGCTGCAGTGCGGGTACCACAGAAGGTTACGCAAACGGATGTGTCCGACATCCCATTCAACGCTTGCGACTGGTCGCATACCTCGCCTGC